GTCCTCACAATGGAGGCACATGCATTTAAATGGATAGAGAAAGGGCTCAATCCATTTACAATCAAGTACCTAGGCATGCAGACTGATTCTACAAACATTTGTGAAAGAATGGGTTGCTCTCCAGAGCTCAGTGAATTCAACCGTGGTACTGTGATAGGTTGCCACCTGTGCAATAAGTCCATCCGTGAAATTTCCTTGCTACTAAATATTCCACAGTCAACTGTTATTGGTATTATAACAAAGTGAGAGCAACTGGGAACAACAGCAACTCAGCCACGAAGTGATAGGCCACGTAAAATGACAGAGCGTGGTCAGTGCATGCTGAAGCACACACTGAAGCACACAGTGTACAGAAGATGCCAACTGTCTGCAGAGTCAACAGCTAAAGGCCTGCAAACGTCGTGTGGCCTTCAGATAAGCACAACAGTGCATAGAGAGCTTCATGTTATGGGTTTCAATGGCCATGCAGCTACATCTAAGCCTTACATAACCAAGAGCAATGCAAAATGTCAGATGCAGTGGTGTAAAGCACTCCACCACTGGACTCTAAAGCAGTGGAGACGTGTCCTCTGGAGTAACAAAACGTGCATTTCTGTCTGGCAATCTGATGGACATGTCTGGGTTTGGCGGATGCCAGGAGAACGGTACTTGCCTGACTGCATTGTGCCAAGAGTAAAGTTTGGTGGAGGGGGGATCATGATGTGGGATTGTTTTTCAGGTGTTGGGCTTGGCCCCTTACTTCCAGTGAAGGGAAGTGTTAAGACTTCAGCATACCAAGACATTTTGGACAATTTCATGCTCCCAACTTTGTGGGAACGGTTTGGGGATGGTCCCTTCCTGTTCCAACATGACTGCACACAGTAAGGTCCATAAAGACATCGATGAGAGAGTTTGGGGTGGAGAAATTGGACTGGCCTGCACAGAGTCCTGACCTCAACCAGATAGAACACCTTTGTGCTGAATTAAAGCAGAGACTGCGATTCAGGCCTTCTCGTCCAACATGAGTGCCTGACCTCACAAATGCTCTTCTGAAAGAATGGTCAAACATTCCCATAGACACTCCTAAACCTTGTGGACAGCCTTCCCAGAAGTTGAAGCTGTTATAGCTGCAAAGGGTGGGCCAACTCAGTATTGAACCCTACAGACTAAGACTGGGATGCCATTAAATTTCATGCGAGTGTAAAGGTAGGCATCCCAATACTTTTGGCAATATAGTATATGCTGGATTTCTTCATATAATATCATGCCTCTGGAGGAAGGGTGTAACAACATCCCATTCTTAGCAGCAGTAACACCATCTCACCATTAATTGCAGTTCCTGAATTGTAGTTCAACCACAAATATGCAAAGATGCCATAGAATCAATGTTTTTTAAGGTCATATTGTAATACCTGGTGGTACTGCAGGTAAACAGCAGGTAAAACCCATAGAGCTGTGTTTGGAGGTGATCATGTTGTGTACTAAAATCTGCAAACAAACACATGGAATCAAACATCATATTGTTTTCTATACTTACTTTACAGACAGGGTGCCAATCATGAAATGTGCACCAAATATAACGTCACAAAAAATATCAGTCATCATTACTGATTACTAGGAACAATTAGCTAATTTTGCCAGTTAAAAACATGTCTCTTCCAGCTGTGCAGTGGACTGCCATGCCTGCAGGGAACCCTGGAGCAGTCCTGTAGTTCTATGAAACCGTGAAGTCCCTCTAAGTGGCTGTGTGAGCAGTATTCTCCATGTAGCTGGCCTGGCACTTTTGTGACAGGATATCCATTTTCTCCTAAAAGGTTCTGTTCATTTTCTTGGAGCAGAGGTAGATCTGAAATCTGGCACTAAGGAAGATGAACTATGTGAACCATATTTAGAGGAAACAGAGAAAGTTCCCAGCAGGAATGCAGGTCCTCTTGAGACCAGGTTGACAGGCCAATGCTGTCGCATTGTATTGATCCAATAGATGAACATGCTCCGGTAACAAATCCAGTAGAGAGCCTGCTGCTTTTGCAAAGACCTTTTCAAATCCCCCTATAATCACTAACTGCAAAGCAGTAAATTAAAACAGCCTCAGATATTGAAAGCTTTAACAGGCAGGGTGAACATGCACTGAGAGGTGAATTATTGTATTGTTAACATGCTTGGTGCTATGACACATATCCTTTAAAAGAAGGTAAGTACTATTTAAATATTTGAACAACCGTTCTGTTTTTTTGGGTTTTTTTTTTTATAGCCTTTATTAAAACTTCACCCTGGGAAATATCATGTCACATTACATGCTATTTGCTGATACAATTTGGTAAAAGCTACCTAAAAAATGAAAGAGTTTTCACAGCGGGTTTTTCCTTTAGTCTCCCGGTTTGCTTCACATCCACATTATTAGCTGTGAATTTTGATGTGGACAAATTTTTGTCTAATGACAATAAGCATGTGAGCTCTGGCTCCGGGGAGACTCGGTAAATTACAATGCAAGTAAAAGACTTAAAGTGCTCCAGAGGGATTTGTAATAGTGAGCACTCTTGTCATCTAATGAAATATACAGATATTTCTGTTAAGGACAATGCATTCACTTGTTGGAAATCTAAAGCCAAAACATTGACCAGGGAAATAGAAAGTGTCTGCATGAATGCAACTGTAAATAGAGATGTCTGCAGCCATAAAGTAGTTATCTTTATGTAGGGTCTGTGGCTCTTCTTTAGTAAAATTGACGATCCTATGTAAACTGATTCAGTAAAGAGTGCAAATTTAATTTTTTATTGTCCTGGCAAGTGCTGGTTCAAAATAGGTCAAATCAGGCAATCCCTGGGTATTGGTTATAGGCCATTCTGCTAGTTATTTCCCAGAACTAACCGATTATAAACAGCACCAGATTAAACTCTGTGGCAGCTTCTAGGCAATCAAAACCTTGGGGCCCCCTCACAGGTTTCTGGAGGTTTCTTATGCGTCATGCATCATCTCCATCTAGTGCTTGTCGACCAGTAGATGGAGATGACCATCACTATCTACTACATTATACGTAGGTTGCACCAAAATGTTTTACAAACTGACAGCTGAAAGAAGATGAGCTTTTACCAGACAAACTAATGTGAACCTGATGTCTATGGTCTATGTATTTTAAGTTGTTATTGAGCACATTACATACAGTAATACAGTATTATGTCTATAGTATATTTAATGAAAAGTGTTTGATCATTGAGTTGATTCCATTTTTTCAATCTTTTGTAAGCAATTTAACCTCTTCCCATCCAGCCCATGCCAACAAACGGACGCACGGGAGCGTTGCCGATGCAGGAGGACATTACTAAACATCCCCCCGCATCCACTGCCTGTGTGCATCCATCAATGCCTGTGTGCATCCAATGCCTGTGCGCATCCACTGCCTGTGCGCATCCACTGCCTGTGCGCCTGGACACAACAGAACACAGATCGATGTACAGGACCGCTGTGTGAGGTCCCGATTCATGTGATCAGTGATTGACCAATTAGTGATCACATGAACAGTAGTAAACAAGATGTCACTTCCTGACATCATTGTTTACTACTTGTGAATTCTGTGAATGATCACAGAGGTCACATGGTACAAGGCCACTCACAACAGTCTTGTACCATGTGCAAGCTGCGACCAATCACAGCTCTCACAGTATTTCTCAATGGCTGCAGGAATGCAGCCAGAGAGAAGGAGAAATTACTGCTTTTCCAGCCTTTATGGGTATAAAAGCAATCAGTGTAAAGAAAAAAAAATCTTCACCACCCCCACAAGTAGTACAGTGTCACTATGGTGCCACTGTACTGCTAGGGTGACAGTATGTAAAAATAAAAAAGACATAAATAATAATATTTAAAAATTAGAAAATTATAAAAAAAAATTTATAAACTGATTTTGTGTTTTTTTTTTACCAAAAAGATAGCTGAATACAGTTTGGCCAAGATTTATTCTCAACATTTTATAATAAAAACAATTTTTTTCTAAATTTTTGGTCTTTTATTTATATAGCAAATAAATAAAAATCCCAGTGGTGAATAAATACCACAAAAGAAAGTTTTATCTATTTAAAAAAAATGCTAAAAATGTCATTTAGGTACAGTGTTGCATGACTGCGCAATTGTCATTCAAAGTGTGATAGCACTGAAAGCTGAAACTTGGAATGGACTGGAAGGGGGTGAAAGTGACCAGATTTGAAGTGGTTAGGAAAGCTTCATTGTAATTTTCTTTCAAGATCAAATAAATATTATTTTGATCTTTTGTCTGGGGGCTCTTAAATGCCATGGGGCTCATAGTCGTGTGCCTACTCTGCCTATTTGGTAATCCAGCACTGGTTCTATATACACCTGAAACTGACACTTACCCTCATTCAGAAGAGAATGCAGTTTTAGGTTGCACTCTATGTATAATCAAAACATTTTTCTTAGTACATTTGGCATACCTTAGTGTTCCCTGTATACTTCACAGCTATTATTCACATTTTATATGTTACTACAAGACTTACCAGACGTTCCTGCCAGTATCTGTACTTTCTATTCCTGACCTAAGCCGCTTGCCTTGCAATAAGCAGCAGTGTTGTTGGGGTACTTACCTGATAGACCTGATAGGCATTCCAATGGACAACTGATGGTGCACACACAACAGGACCTACAAAACTGTTGGAGGGTGGACCTATCACAGCTGAAGAGGGTACACGGGGAGGTAGATGTGTTTACTATGCATACTTGAAATCATGGTAAAAATGCACCTACAAACATTAACATTTAGTTTTGCTTTAAATGAAACCTAATGCTTTGCAATTAGTGTTAAACAGAACTTGTAAGGACACAAATATTAACCGCTTCCCGTGTGCCCTATAGCAGAAATAATGCTACAGGGCGGCATGGGTGCGCAAAATCACACACATATATATATATATATATATGTGTGTGTGTTATTTTGCCCTTCTGGGTAGGGGGCGCGTAGGGGGCGCGTAGGGGGCGCGTAGGGGGCGCGTAGGGGGCGCGTAGGAGCCGCGCGCGTCCTACCCACGCCACCATTCGCGTCCATAGCTGTCAATCACTGGGTCCCGGCCGATAATTTCCAAAGATCTCTGATGGGGAGGAGGACTGTTTTGTTTACTAACAGTCCTCCTCCCTGTCTGCTCAGGCACACTGCTCTGGATGGCTGTGCACAGCACAGCCATCCAGAGCAGTGTGATTACTGTGAAGCACCAACACACCGCCCCCTAGCAAAACACTCCCTGCACTCAGTTAACCCTTTGATTGCCCCTAATGTTAACCTCTTCCTGCCCAGTGCCATTAGTACAGTGTCAGTGCTTTTTTTTAACACTGATCACTGTATTGGTGTCACTGGGGATGCCAGTGACACCAAGGCAGTTCCCCCCAGTGTCAGAATGTCCGCGGCAGTCCTGCTATAAGTTGCTGATCGCTGCCATTAGTAGTAAAAATTAAAAAAAATTCCAGTATCTTTATAGCCATTTGTAAACACTATAACATTCACGTAAACCAATTAATTTACACGTATTGGGATTTTTTTTTTAGCAAAGACATGTAGCAGAACTTTTTGGTGTAAATTTATGATGAAATTAGATTTTTTCACTGGACATGTTTAGTAGCAAAAAGTCAAAAATATAATTTTTTTTCTCAAAATTGTCGGGCTCTTTTTTATAGCACAAAAAATAAAAATGCACAGGTGATCAAATACCTCCAAAAGAAAGCTCAATTCGTGGGAAAAAAGGACGTAATAGACTGTAATCAGAGGAGTAATGGACTTCTAGAGGAGTTTTTTAGCTGTAAAAATGCTCTAATGCTGAAAAACGCGGCAAAACATGGTAAACCACGGCAAACCAGTGTTTTTGGATGTTTTTTTCTGCAAAAAAAAATATTTTTTGGTAACAAATGCTAAAAAAACGGTACAAATGCAAAACTGAAAAAAATTGGCAAAACTCCGCTAAACGCTAATGCAAAAATGTTAAAAAAAACCCACGTTTTTAGCATGACTTTACACAGCTAACGTTATCAGCATTATTAAAACACCCCGTGTGCATGGAGCCATAAAGTAATGTTTTACATTTTTATTTATGTTAAATGTTTCTTTTTCAATTTAATATTTAACACAGGATGCACACGTTACCTTGGTGTCACAGAGCATTATGGGTTTTCTAAATTGAGAGCACAATCAAAGCTGCTTTCTTTCAACATCTCTTTTTTTAAAGTGATTGTAAAGGTAAAACTAAAAAGAAAATTACAAAACATGTCATACTTACCTGCTCTGTGCAAAAGCATTTCACAGAGCAGCCCTGAGCCTCCTCTTCTGGGGTTGCTAGCACTCCTGGCCCCTCCCCTCCCTAAGTGCCCACCACAGCAAGCCATTTGCTATGGGGGGCACTTGTGTGGGCTCATTCCCGAGCCAGCTCTGTGTCCTTAAAACAAACAAAGCAAAGATCAACCCCATACCTTGCTTCCTCCTCACTGGCTGTGATTGACAACAGCAGGGGCTAATGGCTCCTGCTGCTATGTCTGAGCCAATGAGAGGCAGAGAGCCAAGAGAGTCTCTGCTCTCTTGGACATCGCTGGATCGAGATGGGAATCAGGGAAGAATAACGGCGGCTGGCAGGAGATGCATGCAGAAGATTTTTTTACCTTAATGCAGAGAATGCATAAAGTAAAAAAACCTTTCTGCCTTTAGAACCACTATAACTGAAATTGTATATAGCCTTGTGTGGACAGAGCACTCAGGATAAAGGAGGAAGGGGGATGAGCCATTCAGTTGACTCTAAGGCAAATGGGCTAATCACAAGGAATTTTCTCTTAGCTTAGTGAAAGTGGTGAAAATGTACTTTGCAAAGAATAGCAGAGGAAATAAAAATGACTGAATGATGGAATTCAGCAAAGCTTTACCTCATTCACTAAGCTAAAGAAAATTCCCCTTGCAGACTGCAAATTCCCTTGCAAAGTGAACAGGCTTTTTGCTTTTAGTAAATCAACCCTAAATTCAATCTCATTTAACTGCATGGAAATTTAAATAATAAACCCCAAAACAAAGATATAATATATTGCAGCTTTCCGATCCTTACAGTTGGTGGCTACATTAGTTTTCTTTTTTGGCTTTTTAACTTTATTTTCACCTGATGATCCAGCTACTAACACACTTTTCTGTCTTGGGGTGTCTCTACACTGGTTGGAGGAGCAAAGGAGACACCCTTGGAAAGCATTACTGTCAATCTCAGAAAAGGGTAGTGTAGATGCACTAGCAGATGTAGATGGACTTGACTAATGAATTAAATCTGAACACCTGCTTACATGTTATAGGTAGTTACTGCAGCAATTTTTTCCTGTTTAGATAAAGGTTTTACATACATTAACCTTCCTAGCGGTAATCCTGAGTGTGGCTCGGTGTTGATTTACAGTACCTAAAACAGCAACCCCGAGCTACACTCAGGATTACACTGCAGTGTTTGTCCTGCGATCCCCCACTCCTTACCTTGTCCTGCAATCCCCCGATGTCCTCCCGCTGTGTCCTCCAGTCGATGCTAGCATCCGTCTTCTGGGTTCCCTTCTCTGCGAGTGGGGCGGAACCGGTGGGAGATTCAAAAAAGTAAAAACATGACATACACACAATACATTGTAATCTGTTAGGATTACATTACTGTATCAAACCATTTCACCTAAATTTTGTCCCTAGTGCTTTGTCCTGTGCCCTGCCTGCACTTTTACCGTTCTTTCTGCCTGGAAACTTGAGAACGTCCATGGCATCCAAAAAGCATCCCTTTAGGTCAAAAGTGGTTTTAGACCAGCTAGAGAACAGCGATAGTGAATTAGAACCACTTGCAGAATTGAGTGATAATGATTCGTGGGGAAATTTGTCATCAGACACTGAAAATGATTCTGCGACTGAGCTCAGTGATGTGCGAACTTGGCGCTATATTTCAGATTTCAGTGTTTTTGGTTTGATTATATTATTGAATTAAATGTATTATTATATTATTATTTTTTATAATTATTTTTAATTATTTATTATATTATAATTTATGATTTCGTGTTTCAAACGTTATCATACCCAGGATGTTTACCAGACTCTTGTTTGGACAGATTTAAGTGAGTTATTCCTAAGAACTACAGGCCTACAATATAAAACAACAGATTTCCATGCAAGACAATGTACCGCTTTGACATTCAAAAATATTGATAAGTTAGACCGCCAGGGAGGTTAATAAAAGCTTACTATTGTAAGCACCCCTGTCAGTGTTAAATTGTTTGTCCTCAACCTTCTAACTGCCACTTTTGCTGGACAGATTGGTCTGTTGAAAAATATCAGACTTGCTGACTGGCTCAACAGGTGAAAAGAAAAAAATCCTAAAATAAGAAAATAATGTAACCACCACATCTAAGCATTGGTAAGCTGCAATAGAATATATTTTGTTTTTGTAATGAATACCACTTTAAGCTGGAGCAATCAATCTCTATAAGCAATAGATTTTCCAGCAAAAAAAAAAAGAATAGACTAGAACCTGTGGAAAGGAACCTAGATTTTCACTTGCTGGATAGAAATTTAAATCTGAAATATTTAGATGCACTACATTCGACTTATCCTACTATAAAAAGTTGCATGTAAAATTTGCAATTTAATTCAAGGAAGGAAGGAAGGAAGGACATACAAAAGTATTACCCTCTGAATAGACATTTTTTCACTTATGTACATGTTTATAGAGTAAAAGCTGTTAGACCAACAAATAAAGTAAACATGAACTTACCTTGTTAAACAACCCATTTAGTTTAAAATATAAATGAAAGGAAAAATATTTATATATATATATATATATATATATATATATATATATATATACACACACACACACATTATTATTATTAGTTTTTTTTCTTTTTTATAAGTAATCACATGACCTCTGTGCTCATCCACATAGGGGGCTTGGAGAGGTGGGGATGGAAAAACAGCAGTACACTGATCCTCCCAGTGAATGGCTCTGCCAGGGGGCATGTCAGCAAACATCTTTGCCATTGGAGGACAGGCAAGCTGTTCTCCCACCACAGCCAGAAAGCCTGGGAGGGATATGCTCTCATGCCTAGCATGGTCAATTTGAAATAGGAAAGCAGGGGGACTGGCAGGATCACCACAGATTTCACACAAAAGTAAGTAATAAAAAGAGAACAAGATACTTTTAAACACTAGTACATGGTACGACAGGCATATGAGGAATAGGAATTGTTGGGCTAACATATTCTTTAATGGCACATACTGTATATGTATGTGAATGTTTCTGTTTATATGTTTATTCTGATATACAGTAATAATAAATGACAGACTGCATTACAAAACATTGCTCATTTTTAGTGTTTCTTTAGCAATATTTTCCACTAGGAATGCTTTCATATTGCTGTCAGTAATTAATGATGCCTTGTACTATAACATTTATTATAGCTATTGACCTGAGTTCTCCCATTTAAAATAAACGTTGCACTATTTGTTGAGTTTTCTTTTATAATCCTATTTTACTGCTTTTGAGACAGATCGCCATCCTATCTTTTGATGGAGTTTAGGCTTTCAACAGCAGGTGAGATCATGCACATCAAGATCATTTTTAATTTCTCAAGTGATTAAATTATGTGCTTCTGGTGCAATATTAAGTGCTTATTGATTTGACATAATGGTAATAAATAAAGTTATCATGCTCTTTAACAGCTTAAGGAAAAAAGATAATAAATAATCAGAACATTTCCATTATCATCTAGTATGACTTTAGTGTGTAACGGTAAATACATTGACTTGCTCTTTCAACATCCACCATCAGATCAAAAATGAATTCCATTAATAAATTAACTCCATTTATCTGGCAAACTGCACTTGGTCCAAAAAAAACCTTTTGCAGAACAATAATTCCTTACCTTACAAGCATCTTGGTGTTTAAACCAAGGTGTTCAGGGAAATAAGATCATATTTGCCCATCACTGCAATTTTATATGGATTAAGCAACAATAATTATAACTATGATTACTAGTAGAAAGCCCTGGCTGATCATTTCTACAAGATAAGACTGGTTCCATTGTTTCTGGAAATTCATGGAAATTCAAAGACATGCATCTGGGTAAACAAGTGTGTATCTTTATGTAATGACTATTTGAAAGCAACCGACATTTGACCATACACACATCTAGGAGATGATTTACTAAAACTGGAGAGTGAAAATCTGGTGTGGCTGTGCATGGTAGCCAATCAGCTTCTAGCTTCAGCTTGTTCAATTAAGCTTTAACAAAAAACGTGGAAGCTGATAGGTGCTCCTCCAGATTTTGCACTCTCCAGTTTTAGTAAATCAACCCCCTAATGTCTATGGCCCACAACAGACATTACTGTGCAATTCATCTTTACATATCGTCATTACGGACAAGCAAAACTGCACATTTTAGTG